GAGAGAGAGAGAGAGAGAGAGAGACAGGTGAATGTTTACATAGCAGATGATCAGTTTTCTGTTCAATAATTCATACACATTTTGTGTCATCATATTCATTGCAATCTTCTTAATGCAGCAGCAATAGTTATCCCACTTCCTCCCTGTGTTTCCTGTTTCTAATCCTCCTCCTTTCCTAACCCTTCTGACTTTAGGTTTTACAGTCTGCGAGTTGAATATCTGAAAGAAGAAAAAACAAACATCCCACCCACATGGGGCCTGCCGTAAGCCAAGACACTGGAAGCAACTAAAGACCACCTTGCCCGTGTTGCACAACCTGGGCATGTTTGAACCAAAATGTGCAGGGAGAAAATCCAGCAAGCAAACAAGCCAAGCTCAGCTATGATAAATAAGCCTCCTAATGAGAGCCGTCAGGCCCTTGCAGCACAAGTGATGTCTTCCACAAAATTACCCTCTTTCGTTTCTTCCCACTATTTTAGGACAACATAAATTACTAGGAAGCAAGCAGATGAACAATTGCTGGGGACAAAAATCTGTTTGTTGACAGCCATGCCCAACATATTATTTCCAGGATAAACATTTCAACTGTCCATTGCTGTCCAAAATAACAGGCTGGTTATTCAGCATAGTTTTAAAAAAAACACAAAAAAACAAGTGAGAGTGGTATTTGTGTTTTATAAAATGTCTGTGTACTTGGTTCCCAGAAGCCATCCCAGAGAGAGCAAGTGCAGACTGATTCACAGGTCAGTGTTAACTGAAGAGCTTTTACCTGTGTGCTTGGACACTAGAAGGCAGGATGCAGAAGTGAGATTATGAAACTGGAGCGTGAAACAACCCGAGGAGCTGGGAAGGTGGCTCACGACCATCCGGGGAAAGTTCAACAAGACTAGGGTGCGCGTGTGCACGCAAGTGTGTATTTCTCTATCTATCTATAAATGAAACTATACAACTATAGAAGACATAGAAACAAAAGCTTGTGTAGGGTGGGTGGCGATGTAATAGGTCAATAGGTATCCATGGTCCTAAAGCTTCGCAAGCACCTAAGTGATTTTGACGTGTCTTAGTGCGAGGGATCGCCACTGCAGTCGGTGCTAATTAGACCAGACAGGCGCAGAGAAGTTCTCTCTGAAAAGAAAATCTACCGGAAAAGCACATCTGAAGATTAGAGAGACTAGATGGGTTTCATTTAGGTAAGAGAAGATATTTGGCATGGGAGGGCCACTACGATATCTAATTGACTGTCATGAAGATAGAAGTACTTTAACTCATATGAATGCTGCAAAGACTACAAGAGTCGATTCATGTAAATTACTCAGAAGGTTACCCGGCACATACTAAGTAAGTGCTAATTACACGATTATTTGGATTCTTAATAAATATTAATCTCTTGTGGTTAGTAACAAAAGACTATTCTCTAATGTTCAAAATATCATTAATTACTGTTTTCAAAATTCTAAAGTACTCAAATATAGGCAATATCATGTTCCAATCCTAATATAACCCATGTGTACAAGTTGTGGGTTTTAGTTCAAAATAAGAAAGAA